GGGGTTTAGGGGTTTAGGATGAAGGGCTTTCTCGGGTGTGCTTGACCTGCCACGGCCATACCCCTCTGCATCGATGTTTTTGTGGATGTACTGCATGCATGCACATCTGTATGTATGTATGTATGCATGCNNATGCATGCATGTATGTATGTTTGTATATCTAAGGCTCCACAAAGAGTTGGCGCATATCGTTTGCGCTCTCAAAAAGCCCAAAACGCTATTATAGTTCAGATTTGGCCAAAGCTGCACCAAGTGCCCGTCGTTGAGATTCTCCGGAACCAGCCTTGCATAGCCGAATTACAGAAAAGCTCGAATCCGGAACTTGGGATGTAATATAGGGGCCTTTATAATCAGACTAGGGCTTGGAGGCCCATTATAGTACATGTATAATAAGGACCCCCAAGAATAGTATTCGTAATTATTTAGGCCCCTACATTAGGGTTTAGGAGCCCCTGATGCCTTGGGAAAGCAGGACTTCCGATCCGAACGTGGTCACAGCGGGGCCCCAGCGGCTAGATAGTACTGTAGCTCGTAGATCTCAGAACCGCAGAGCTTGCAAGGAACAATGTACTCGCGAGGTACAGACACATATTTATAATCATGCACATGCACATGAGTCCGATAGCTTCCATCAATCATCACGAAGAGCGTCTGATGACTCTTTTACATATGACTGTGTCCAATCAGGGCGGTACTCGGCTACTGCACCCCAGACGTGGGGCCATTGCAAAACCAGATTTCTCCAAAAGTACCTTTGCCGACAACTCATGTATATGTACATGTATATGTATATATATATATACATATATATCTCTCTCTCTCTCTCTCTTTCTCTCTCTCTCTATATATATATATAATAGATACACATCTTTATCTAGCTACCTTTCTTTCTATCTGTCGATGCTTATGTATATGTACATATATGTGTGTGTGTGTGTGTATATGTCATGTCGTATGCACCCCGAGGGAATCATGCCAACGTCCATAGACAACACCGCTTTGGCCAGTTCCCAATCAAGTGCAATGCAGCTGCTGCCCAAACCCAGGCTTAGTCATTAGTTGCATGTAACCGAAGGGCGTGCAGAGTATAGCATACTGTGTTTCTGCATGGCGAAGTCGATAAGGACTACCTGAAACCCTACACCCTAAACCCTAAACCCTAAACCCTAAAGCCCATGCAGAACAAGTAGCGGACTCAAGGCCGCGGTGATGGCGTTCGAAATGGATCCTGAGGTTGCTTCTGAGTGCTAGGGCTGGATGAGAAACCTTTCAGAGCTGTCTTACTTGGAGGTTCATGGGTAGTTAACGGGGTTATAAGTCCCCTAATATGGGTTATAGCTACAGTTACCCTACTTGGTCTCAGACGCAAGTTTTTGCCATGCTCCTCTCACATCAAGAAGACGGGCTGGAGCAGAATATGATTGACTATGGCTTGGGTGGCTGGGGTGTGCAGGGGTCCGACATAGGGTTTGTACAACTTGTACTGTCAAAGGGACCAAATGGGGGTTTCCTAAAATAGGGGACCCCAATGAAGTACCCAATAATGGGATACTTATTTTTCGGACTCCAACATAAGGTACCCTTAATTTTCGGAAACTCCCAAATGTGCCTCAGGAGTCCGAGATGCACTCAATCTGCATGAGACCCGGTAAATTCAGGGAAGGTGGTTCAAGGGCTAGGGGCCAGCTTGGCAGGCGACGGCTGTTCTGTATGAGCCACTGCAGTTCAGGGGTCTTGAATGGTGGTTTAGAGTCCTCTGGCCAGAGCTTTTACAGCTGTGGGCTTTTTGCAGCGTTCGGGCGAATTTCTGGAAAAAAGTGGGGATCCTTGCAAGCTTGAGGTAGGCAATGGAGAGCCCTGATGGATAAAACCGTCATGAAAGGCTACAGTGCGTCCCCTTCTGGGAGCCCGAAAGAAGGCGGCAGCCATATGCAAAGGACCTTGAAAGACCCCAGTTTCAAAAACTACCCTTCCCAACGGAAGGATCTTCATGACAATGGTTGCTAAGAGGAAGGGGTCGGTTATTGGCGGGTCTACGTGGTGCAAGATGACAAACAAACCGACTTCCGTCTTCATCCACGAAATTTTGGGTTAGGGGTTTAGGGTTTGGGTTTAGGGTTTAGGGTTTAGGGTTTTTTGAGAGCACCTTGGCCTGATTAGGATAGATCAGGGTTCAGGCTTAAAGGTCGGGGTCTGTAGTTTGAGGCTGGAATGCTTGCGGCTAATGTACCTTAAGAATTTGAATAGGGTGTTGGGGTCCTTTAGACTATTTTGATAATAAGGAACCCCCAAATGTTGAGGCCCCTATATTAAACCCTCAACCCTTAGCACTGAATTCATCCACGGCTCCACACCCTCCCTAAACCCCTGTACTCACCCTTTTATAAGGGCCTTAATAATCGGAATACGGCTTTGGGCTCCTTTATAGTCTAAATTTAATAAACAACCCGAACAGTAATATTGGTAATTACTTCGGCTTCCATACTACGCCCTAAACCCAAGCCTTGGCCAACACGTGAGGGGCTCTTTTGCAGCAGGGATTCCCGCAGCAACCAAATTCAAGGCCTCGAAGCGAAGATTCTTCGAGCTTGACATCTTTCGGGGTCTGGATATTCAGGATACTTCGCTGGTGTCTTGGGGTTTACCGTTTGCGGTCTACATTGCGGGCCTCTTATTCTACGAAAACCAAAAACTGGGGATGTGAAGTAGGCTGTGTAGTTACAAGTCTCCCGACATATCACCCAACAGCTGGACTCAACACATACACTTCACACATTCTCTAATATCCCCTTCCCTACATAGAGCGGATTCGTTGTGGACGCTGCCAGGGGTTCCACGGCAGCCCATCTTAATGCTTCAGTTCCAGATTCCACAGCTCGTTCATGGCCGTCCAGGTAGCAGCGGCCAGGTCGGCTAACGTTTTCTGCCCACGGTGTCCGAAGCGAAGCTGCATAATAGAGGGGCCTTACTACCTAGAGTAGGGTCTTGTTGAATATTCTACTCGCCATAGACTAACCATAATGAGGGACCCAAAATAGGACTACAATACTTTTACTTCGGCCCGTTCTTCGTGGAGGCCGTAGACGAGAGGAAGCTGCTTTGGCTGTGGGAGTTACAGCGACGCACTTTGGCGACTTAGCTCTTCCTGGGATTCCCAAGCTGTGGGAGGAACGAAGTGCTGCGATTCGGGTTGTTCTCTAAATTAGGGTCCCTTTTTGGGTCCTTTTATAAGGGTGCTGTACTATCTTGGGGACCTGAAAAGGGGCCCCTTTTTTTGGGGAGCTGCCCATTCGTGGTGACGGGCTGCTTCCCACTCTGCAGCCAACTCCAAGAAGCCGAGAGCAGAAGTCGAAGGCTGTCCCGGGGGCGTTTCTGCATTTTTTGGGAGGGTGAAAAGAATACCCTAGCCCCAAAAACGTTAACCTTCCGAATTACAGCAGGATTATAAGAGCCCCAAAAGGTTACTACTCGGTCACTAAGGGGTTTAGGACTGGCTTGAAGACGAAACCCAAGCCTTCTTTCCATGGATGTCTTGACCCACAACCCCAAACCTCGATTCCTCAGAGCCGCCACAAGCCGTAAATGCAGCAACCCTGAACCCGAAAACAGAAATCCCAACCTACGGAAAAGGAATCTACAACCGAAAAAGCTGGAATCCTCTTTTCAGACATCCAGGTAAAGGTCTCACAGAACCTCCTATACTATACCATACTATACCATACTATATCATATTATGCCATACTATACCATACTGTACCATACCATACTATGCCATACTATACCATACTAGACCATACCATACCATGCTATGCTTTACTCGACTATACTCTGCTATTCTCTACTAAACTCTACTATACTCTACTCTACTCCACTCTACTCTGCTCTACTTTAATATACTATACTTTACTATTCTATTATGTTATATTGTAAAGCACTAGCACCCCTTAGTCCGCCGCCTGGACCAAAGAGCGCAGCGGTGCAGGGGCCTTTCGGCGGATAGAAAGGCGGGTTTGGGGTTCAGGGGGTTTAGGGTTTAGGGGGTTTAGGGGGTATAGGGGTTTAGGGGGTTTAGGGGTTTAGGGTTTAGGATTTAGGGTTTCTTCTGCTCAGGATCCTCTGCCCTTATCTGACCACGACTTCATGGCTCTGGGGATTGCCAGTTCGTGGGCGCTGCTCGAACTCGTCCGAAGTTTTACACTCTTAGGGGCTGAGTACCCTAGCCCCAAAAAGGTTAACCTTTTGAATTCTAGTAGGATTATAAGAGCCCCAAAAGGTTAAAGGTTACCTACTCAGCCACTGA